AGAGAGAGAGAGAGAGAGAGAGAGAGAGAGAGAGAGAGAGAGAGAGAGAGAGAGAGAGAGAGAGGGAGCCGAGGCAGAGGAACAGAGGGAGGGAAGGCAGAGCCTTCCTCCCGGTACCTGCTGGTAGCTATGGCGCGGCTGGGCCGCGCTGTTCCTCTTGCCGCTGCGCCGCTGCCTCCTGGCTGCTCTCGCTGCTGCAGCGCTGCACTAATCTGCTTAACGCTTGGCTGCTCCGCTAATCCTCCAGACTAACTCGTACCTACTAACTTGTACCCAGCCTTTTGTAGTGCTGGGCCGGCCTCTTGCCTACTGGTACCTACTGGCCTGGACCGTTGATCTAGATCGACGGTCCAGTTTCGAAACTGGTTTGGCGCCTAAACTACGGCAGCCTCTGAACCGTTGCCGGTAGGTCCTAGGCTGGACCGGTACCGGCCTTGTGGCCGTTCGGCCTGGGCCTACCTGAACCGCCGTGGTCCAGGCCCTTTTGAGCCTCATCTGAACCGGTGTCCCCTAGGCTAACCCTGCCTGTCTTGGAACCGGTCCCTAACTGGGGCCCGAGTGGCTCAGTATGCCACACATGCACAATGACAAGTAGACTGGGGAAGAGCAATCCACACCAAAGAAAATGATGAGAATACACAGCGAAATGCAAGGATCTGGGTCCTCGGCAGGCCTAAGGGGCCCCGGTTGCAGTGGTGCCCGCAATAAGTGAAGGCGGTCCTAACTTATCACAAGAGGCCTTTGACTGTCAATTTCATATTTGGGGTCCAGGCAGTTGCGACGCGCCAGTTAGTTGAGCGAAACACAGGCCGACCAACCAAGACATTTCCATGGCCTTCTGGGCCTTTCTGAAGCACGCAGGCCATGGACGAGAAACGCAGCCTCATACACTGACAGTTGGGAGGCCCAACCAACAGAGGCCCAGTAGCTGCAAAGTAGCATGCAGCATCCTGGGGCCTACCGAAAGCTTCTGGGCCCAGGCCAAGTCCAGCCAGGCTGCGAAGCAGGCAGGCTCTTTCCATATAGGAAAGAGCTCGCCACTCGGAGCCTCATTCAGGCACTCGCATGCTAGCGGCAGCGCTGCTGGAGCAAAGACTCAAGGGCTGCTGCTGGCGCTGAGAGGCGAGGTGCAGCATGTGCGGTTGTGCAGGGAAGAAGGGCGCTGCTGAGGACAGCGCCATACCCCAGCCAACATAGCTGGTGGGCTTGGACTACAGTGACGCGCATGAGTGGTCTTCGGGTGTAAGGGAGGAAGACGTGGGTGTAAAGTCAGGGAAGGGTGAAGGATGATGATGATGATGATGTTGTAAGGGCACATACCTTGTATTGTCGACAGTCTGCATTGGGCGACATCTTCAAGTACGTCGGGTTGCCGCTGATGTCAACAGTTGCATTGTCAATTAGTAGGCAGATAATAGCTGTGTAGGAGTAGGCTGGGCGCTGAGCGCCAAGTAGGAGAGTGAAGGGACTGGACTCTTGTGTTGGTGAGGAGAGAGAAAGCTCTCCGTGACATTGGTTTTCAGTACTACAAACCTCCATTGGTGTATTATTGGTGCAATGCTGCTCTCTGGACACGGTGTGACTATCTAGCTTTCAATGTGATTGTGTAATCTGGA